TATATCAGTTCAAGAGAGCATTGGTTTTATGAGATCCTGATGCTGGGGCGAAAGGAGAATTTAGCGAGGGCCAATTACTGTGGAATTCTGATTCTTATAGAATTCGTAACATTATTACATTAGTCTTTTACTAAACTATGGTGTAGATTGTGGCTTACTTTTTGGTGATTTTTATATAATCACCTGCAAACTCGCCTGGAATTTATATAGCATTTTTGAAATGAATATTTCTTATCGCTCGGTATGACTGTATATTTTGCAAGGGACTAAATTCATCTCATCTTTCACGAGACGCTTCAAGTATATACACTTTATTACTCATCGTCTTATTTCTATGATACTTCGCGGTAAAAAGGAGTGGGCGAACGAGAAAGAAGTAGTCACTTCTGTTGGCACTCGCCAAACGCCAAACTTAAAATTTTCAATGGAATTCTTTGGCAGTCACTAGAATTCCTTGGAAGTCAATGGAATTGCTTGGAAGTTAATTGATTATTTGGAAATCAATAAAATTGTTTTTTTTTTAATTTTGGAAGTAGGTAATTGAAATTCATTTTGAAAGTCACTGGAATTAAATGGAATTTGTGAATTTTTTGGAATTCAATGGAATTATTTTGCAGTTTTATCTGATGGAATTTTTTGGAATTCTAGAATTCGTTTACGCTTTCCGAATTCTGGTGTACACTTGTGCTCAGTGGTTTACTCCTCGGAATTTAGCTCATATTTAGTCGTTTTATTTAGAGCTATTTGGTTACAAATGCTAATTCAGCATGAGATCACGGTTACATCGTAAAAAGTTATGTCAGCTGACTTTCGGTGAGAAAGAGCAACCTCTTTCTTCTGTGTTTTCGTGAATACCACCGATTCCTTCTGGCACAATTAAAAAAACATGGTGGACTTAATTAGTACACGTAGCATCGTTAAAATTGCAACCACCAAAGCTCCTTCCTCGCCGCCTTCGTTTCGTGCGAAAAATGTGCAAGTGGAAATTAGAAAATTTCTATGAAATACCTTCCCGTGAGTCGTGAGTCCTTCGGAAAATCCGCGATAATTTTCGGCCCATGACGAAAATGATTCACCCCGTATACTGAACACAAAGCTCATTGTTCGAACAAAGTAAAATGGGAAAAACTTGAAAATTAACACCGCCAAGGTTAACAACACGTTCCACACGATTATTCCAGCAAGTTCATTTACACGTTAAAGGTGACAGATAAACGGGTCCGATTTCCGCGATAAAGGTGCAATGACGAGCGTTAGATAAGGGCGGAATGCCGCACTTATTAGATATACGTAATGAGATTATAAAATATATAACACGAAAAAATTCTATTGTTTTCCCGTCAAGGATAAATTTCAATTGCGTTGATTTGAAAACGTTGCTGAAACACGTGATGTCCTGAATCGATTAGATTTTATCAGATTACAAAACTGTGGTAGTCGTACTTCGTTAAGTGGCCGTGGCAAAATTATTTCTACAATCTTGTGTGCCAAGGCATTCGGATAGACCACAGTGTGATAACTGTTGGATCGTGTTAATGGAGACGACCTCGGTATAAAACAATGAGGAATTTGCAAAAATAACGTCCTGCACTGGTACGAGTCGTCACTGCATTGAGAAATTTAATTTGTGTCACGAGTAATCTGCGTCATATGTTCTACACTTGAAGAAAGTAGGAAAAATAAAGAAACGTAGATGGAAGTTTATGCGTTCTATGAAATATGATAATTTCATGTTAATTAGATCATTTGTTTCCATTCTCGAACTAAAGTTTTTTCAACTGCAGCAATACTAAGTAACAAAGTTGGCATCCCTTGGTCAAAATGTTCTTGCGCCCCATTCAATTTTTGGGCATTGAACTAATGTGTTTAGACGTTTTTCAAACGATAACACCAGGAAAACTAGAAGTTTTTGAATCTTCTACACTTACTTTTCTCCACCCCCTAATGTGTGCTATGGATCGTAGGAGGGTCATTTAAAATTGCCTTCAAAACACTATGTTCCGTTGAATTAAGTTCAACGCTCTTATAACAATAATTGATCTGCTTTGCTCCATTTCTCCACTGGAGCTGCTTTATCCCGTTGGAATAAAATTTGTGCCTTTTAATTGCATTTATGCGTCCTTGTAGTGAAATTTTTCACCTCTTGAACATAAATAACTGTTCAGGAACACCAGAAAGTGACATGTCAAACAACCTAAATCATCTAGGATTAAAGATCAATGAATTCGTTACTTTTACGCTACTGATGTCCTTGAAACGCAAAATTAGCGCTCAAGAAAGAAAGAACGAAGAAATTAATTCGCAATAAGCTCGAGTTTTTAATAAATGCTAATTACGCCCCAATCATTATACTTCATTATCACCAAAAAATCACGAGGCGATGCTAAATTTAAATTCGATGGCGCATAACTAGTGTCCATGTCATAACTATGATGCAAGAAAAAAAACTTCATTAACAACCCAAAATAATTATTAATTTCTGTCCAATTAATAACACGATTTGCAATCGTTTTACCTCAAAAAAGCATAATTATGAAGCAGAAAATTTGCAGTAGTAAGCGCACAACTGGACCAGTGCCGCAAAAATTTGAGAGCTTAATTAGCGCCTAATTAAATCTAAAATTGTGCTGTCAACGACGAATAGTTCAAATTCTCAAATGCAACGCTAGAAAAAATTAATTCGGAACAATTTTGTTGTACGTATGTTGCGGTCAGTGTTCTTAATTTAATTTCAACGAAGCTTAATTGGTGTCTAATTATCAACAGAACGTTTACGATTGTACCATCGAGATCGAATTTATTGGCAATAAGTCTCCAATCTGAGAAGTTCTAAGTGCACTGACCACTGCAAAAACGCTATAAATTAACTATTTCATTAATAATTGGCGACCAAAAAAATGTTCCAATCTCACAAAGTGACACTAAACTTAATTTCGGTGGCGCATAGATAATTAGTTCCTAATTAGACAAAAAATCCCGCTTATGGGAGAGGGTTATTTACAAACCAAAATAATTACTTACACCTGCCCAAATACCTAAAATTGAGTCTGTTCACTTAGCCCCCCCCCCCCGCGCTAACCCAACAATGAACACAATTTTTTGTATCTTGTGCCTCAATTGTGCTGCATTGTGCCTTTATGTCTTAATTATTTTAAAAATACAAATGCCCCCCCTCTCAATTAAACTTTTCCATACTGAAATGATGACATTGGTTCATTTCCGAGACTGTGGGGGGGGGGGGCGAATACCCCCCGTAAAAATGACGGAAGTTATCAGATTCAGAGGAGAACCATTGAATTGTTTACCTGTAGGATATTCCATTCAATGGTTCCCCACAAACCCCTCGGTGAATTGAACTTTCCTCCTGAATCTGAGAACTGTCTTTACTTTTTACTGGAGGCATTGATTGCGGTTTTTCTTCCAAAACGTGTACACCCACGATCATGTATAAGGGAAAAACCCCTCGGTGACCCCTTCATTTGCTGGAAGTACCCAAGGCTCCAGGGGATGTTTTTCCTCAAAACGTGTACAACCCTCAGCACTGACACGGTTGAGGGAGGTACACGTTTTAGGATACAGTACAATAAAGGAGATTTTGGTACTCAGGGGAAAGATTTCAAGATTTTACCTAGGCGTGGTGGGGAACCATTGAATTTTTCTTTCCTGGAGGATATTCCATTCAATGGTTCCCCACAGACACCTAGGTGAATTCAGCCTCCCCTCTGAATTTGAGTAGCTTCTTCATTTTCTGAGGTACCGCTACCACCAGACTTCCGGGGATGTTTTCCCTCAACAACTTAATTTCAATAATTTTTCTTTTTAATTTCAGTGGCGGATAAAGAAAATGCAGTTAATTAGTTAGTGTCATTCGGCGATGATTAATTGATCATTTGCTCACAGACATTGAAATCAACAGGAATACCAAGTGGATCTTATGGCAAAGATGGCGAAAAGTTTTTTTGAGGGCGCGATTTTCCTGAAGTTGCAATTTGGGAATTACATATCATACAAATTCAAATAAATGATATTCTTGGTGGAAATTCAAAGAATAAATTTTTCAACCGCGGTGCAAATGTGGTGCGTTTTTTTTTTAAATCATCTTAAATGACACATTAGAAAAATTCAATAAGGAACATTAAAGTGCACATTTTTACGTAATGAAGCTTTCTCCTACTTGCGATCAGCTAACCAAGTATTTTCCATTTTTGTTAACCTCAAACGATCGTATTAATAAAATGGTGGTTTGCTCGTAACTTTTAAAATACAAGAGTACAATTATAGAATAGATCAGTTATCACTGCAGTATTTTGAGAAAGAAAATAGTACATGCATGACAAAAGTGAGTGTGTGCATGTGCTTATTTCTGTTCCCCCAAGCATCTTATAATCCACATTGCACTACTCGCACACTGGCAAATCTCGTATTTTTACCACTTGAAAGTTAGAATTTGATCAATTTTAGGTAAATAGTTAATGAACTCGTTTATCCAAGAAACCAAATGATTCATAAATAGGCATCATGACACGCTATAGTGAAGAATATTAGGCAAGAGAACGTTAATGATTTTATTGAAGGTAACTTTAACCTTTTTGCGAAAGGACGATTGGCGCTTGACAACTCTTGGATATGAGCAAAAGACCGAGATGACAGCAGCCATCAAGGTTTCAAGCTTCGTCGTATTCTCACGCTTGAAATTTATAGAAATAATGGTTGCACACTTTCTAAACTCGACAATTATGTTTAATACCAAAATCCGTATTGTGTAAATTGAAAAGAAAAGTTATATAAATCCTCAACAATAAAAGCGCAAGTGAAACTTTCGTGCGATTTTTAAATGGCGACCTACAATTTTTTAAAAAACGTAAGACCTTTAAATTAAAGCTAACGAAGGCTGGAAATTGCAGAAACGACTATTGTTAATAGCGAAACCTTCTTTCCATATAGAATTAGACAAGGTTAACCCACTTTTCGCAATATCGCAAAAAATTAAAAAAGGATACATTTCTTGGAAGAAGTCTAGATGTGGAGGTTGTAAAATGTCTAAAGCTGATAATACCTGAAAGATTGTCAGAAATGTACTCACTTTTTGGGGACCCTAAGAAAAGCGCACTTACGTTCTCATGTTTGAAAAAGCACAGCATTTTCAATTCCCTAAAAACCCTCTTCGATGACACAAGCGACTGAAACACATTTGGTAACTTCTTCAGTGCCACTCTTCTGCCGTCTCGTGGGTCCGTTACCGCCCTGCAACAAAAAAGAGCTATCAATAAAATTGCACAATAGCGACAGAAAGCTCATTAACTTCCGTTCGATACAGTTAGTCCTCTTTTGGGAAAATGAGGTCAGGTGCCCGTCTCCAATTTTTACCAAAACCTCATCAAAAATAAATAGTATTTCCTTTGAGTGTATTAAACTTTTACTATCCGCTATTTGAAGGCTAATTAGAATTCCAGTCAGTGTTCTTAATGAAAGCATAAATAATGGGAGGTTAAGCGCGATAATTATTTAAAAAGAAATTAACGATAACGTCTCTTTCCTTATACGTATGCACACTATTTGTTTATTGTAAACGGAATTGTTTTTAAATTTAGTTGATGCTACCACGAGGATGTTGAACTTGAATCATTCCAAGGTAGATTAAACGAGGTTGGTTCAAGGTCTTTTTTGAATTTCTTTGTTCTTTCATATGAGTAAGGGTACCAAAAATTTCTACGTCACTTCCGATTCATTTCTTCAGGTACCTACCTGCCGATTTTTTGGTTCGTAGACGTTTTTCCTCGTACTCGTCGAGGAATTCAGTTACAGGAAATGTAAATTGTAGGCAGATGCGTCATTACTCAATTGTCGTTTGATCGCATGAAAATTACGCATCCAATTTACATAATATTTCAGGCAGTAGCGGAAATACTTTCTCCCTAATCCTCTAAAATTTCTGTTTCACCATAGATGCCCCACTTCTAATTAATTTTGTTTAAAGTAAATTTTCACGTTCTTTTGAAAAATTATTGGCAAATATTCCATTTTCCAGGAAATTTGTCCGATAGTATTCTCGCATGATTAAGGCGATGTAGGCGGGTGCACCATCCTGTTGAAACCAACAGTTTTCAGCTTTTGTTTTTTTTGCCGTATATCGTTGTAATCGTAATAAAAAATTATCCTCAATACAGTTTGTACCTCCTTTTTTTACGGGCCATATAAAAAAATAAAGTTGATGATGATATCCCCAAAATGAAACATTGTACCTATTGAAAATCCCCCAACGACTTGTAGAGCTCAAAAAGTGGCATATGTACAATTAGTATTTTCCCAGGTATTTTCCCGGGAAACATCGGACTGCCCTTCAAAAAGTGGCAATGAGAAAGTTTTTTTAATTTTTTTTATTTGACCTTAGTGCTATCTTCTGTGGTTTCGGAGATTCTTATCATATGCATCCTTATCTTGGACACAGTGTATTTTAAGCGGAGAACTCTAGGTCTAGAGTATTCGTTTTAAATGCCAAAGCGCTATATTTATTGATGTTTCTAAAATCTCCAGATCAGGAGACGCACAAAAAGCTGATTACGACGAACATGTGTATCTGGGGATCTTTAAATATGAAAATAACGAACCCCGAATTAGTTTTGGAAAATGTTTCAACTAAAATGGCTGAATATTTGTTTGGTCCGAAGTTCTTCTCTCATTTAAAGACCCGACCCCATCAATAGAAACGTATCTTTTAGACGTTCCTTTGTGTCTTTGCGAGTACAGGAGGAGCGGACGGACAGACTAAAGGACGAAGCCATTTTTCAACATCCTACACTTCGGCCTAAATAGATGGATAACTGGAAGGGTGCAAGGTGCAGACGGTGAATATCTACGTTAATGAATTCAAAGACGATTTATATTTTCCGTTTAGTACGAATTAGCGGTGAATTAAACTGTTTAAAATTTAAATGATTTAAATTTGCTTGTTTTGAATCATTGGTTGCATTGTTTGCGAAGAAAAATTTAATTATCTGGACAGCAAAAATTTTTAGTTCAGGATTAATTTTTTTGTTCTTTTCTTTTTGTCACTGTCATTACTTTTTTACAAAGAGAGTTAAAAGGTTTATTTCAAAAGCAAGCTAACGTTGAGGTTAGGTAATCTCCCCAAATTTGCTTGAGTATTTAAATTTCTGAAAATTTAGTTGGGAGTTAGTATTGTTGTGTAAACTACGTCACGTAGACGTTATTTCCGCTCCAAAAATAATGACGTGAAGCCCTGTAGAACATTTCAATGTATTAAGTAAATCTGGGGGGTTTTACGTATAAACACAAAGTTGATTTATTTTACTTAAATTTGTATCTCAGTGTTTGTTCTTGTTCTTGGAAATTTGTTAGATGCGAAATTTTTTCATTTGAATTTTATAGCTTTTGTAAATTGCCCAATTTAGGTAAGGGTTAAAAGTAAAAATTATCGTTGTCGATGAAAAGTGTTCTATCAAAAGAAATTTAATTAATGTACGTTTGGTGCTGTTAAACAATACGCGTTTCACGTCGACGGAAGTGGGGACATTTGACGCGTTTCGTTGTGATTGGCGATTGATTTGCAAATTCGTAAAGAAGGAGAGTATATTATGGTGGAAGACGTTTCCTTAAATTAATACTGGTGACAACGCGAAAACGTGACTTTGAGTTTGGCGACGGTAAAAGAGCATGTAAATTTGTGAACGCTAAATCTTGGGCAGTCAATCCTATTTTTTCACTTGAGGACATGTTTAAGAGAAACGAAGGGAGCGTGTAGGAGATGTGTAGATAGCGTGAAGGAGGTGTGAGGAAAGCACGATAACCATTTCCCAATTCCCATCTCTGCGTGATTACTACAAACGTATTTCGTAAAAAAAAACCTGAAAAAACTGTTGATAAACTACTTAACAAACGTAATGTACACGAATGTTGATAATGAAAAATCCCAAAGTTATACCATGCCATTCTGTGTAATATTTATTGGAGTAAATATATAAAGAAGTCAGTGTGGTAACACAAGTGGTTTCCATATCCATCCCTGAGGTGCACCACTACCAATACAAGCGACTAGATTTCGGATTTCGTTCATGGAAACATTGCAACATATCCCACCCATTTTGTTATGGACTCACTTTGGGGGGGCTGAATATAAACTGAACAAGTTAAAAAGTAATCGTAAACGATTTACATAAAGCGCATTTCCACTTGCATTCATTTCCCATTTGTAAGATGCAACTTCTGTTAAAATCGTAAAAATCCGACCACAAATATGAAAGATAGCGTTGCACATGGGCAATCCATTTTGACGTGCTACTTCAATTTCAGTTTATGAGAAGAATTTCATTTCAATGCTTTTCTAAATAATAAAGTTGGAACTGCGCATGCGCAAACCTAATTTTGAAACTAATGTTAGATTTTCCTTTGTTCCAAGCGCCTAAGTATCAAATTTCACTTAAATGCTTCCATAGATAAAAAAGTTGGCACTGCGCATGCGCAAAATAAAATTTTGAAACTGGCGCTAGATTTCCTTTATTCCAAGTGCCTATGTATCACATTTCATTTAAATTCTTCCATAAATAAAAAAGTTGGTACTGCGCATGCGCAAATCCAAATTTTGAAATTGGCGTTTGATTTTCCTTTATCCCAAGTGCCTATGTATCAAATTTCGTTTAAAAAGATTTATTATGCGGAAGAATTACACCGAGATGTTTTCATAACATCATCATTAACTGAAATAAAGCTTTCGATCAAGGACGAGATTAATGTATGCGTTTTTTATGATAATTTATGTAAAACCTTCCAATAAAGTTCTTTCTTTTTCGGAAAATGACTCGTTTATTCTTTTGACCTCGCGTATGTCAGCGTAGGAAATCGATTGCGTAGACTAGACGTTTATTGACACGAAGTAAATAATTGCTAGACATCTTTAATAACTTGGAATATGAGATCCGAGCACATACCGCATTCACGAGGAGATACTAAATTCCAATTTGAAATATGACGAACGCCGGCAGTAAATTAACGTTGTGCCCTTATTACCAGAGCGTTAGCGATAAGTAGGTAACCTTCGCCGGAAGGTTGGTCTAAAGTTGGTCAAGATTTCAGTATCTACGAGATTTAATCTCATATGTATAAGGTGTCCCTAAAGATCGCGGTGTTCATTTCTTATGTATTTTCACAACTCTTGAAACTGGCATTTAATTTAAGAACGTACTTTTACCTATTTTTAACCATTCGAATGGTACATTGGAAAAACCACAAATTTCTTTCAGTCTTTGCTTTACGATTACACCAATTTCCAGAGTAAGTAACCAATTATCACAGGCAATGGGAAATTGCCTCGGAAATTGCTGTACAGCGAATGTTCCTAGGCTAATCTAATTCGACAATGAAATTGGCAGACGCTTCTCGAATTTCTCCTGCGGAGAATAGATATGGATATTAAGAAACTGAACTGCAGTGTGAACTGATGGACAGACGGATATACGGACGGAAAAGTAAGCACATAAACTTCGACATAAACGTTTCCATTGTTAATCCATCAAAATTTCCGCAAAATCGCTCTTCAAGTGAGTGCGTTTTAAACCAATATAGACAACGGGAGACATACACAGACGGACGGACACAAAGTCCAAATGACCAAAATTTAAGGTCCCACAAGTCAGCAGAGCCATTTTAGAAAAATGAAGGACGAAATACATCAGAATTATAGGCTGATTATAGGCCCTTTTTGGACACTTGAACAAATTTTCAGGCGACATCCTTTAAAGAAAAAAACTATGGCTCTGCTGGCTAAAGACGAAGCTAACTGACCACTTGTGAGATTTGCTTCGAAGGCGAAAAATTCAGATCACAAAATTATAGGCTATTTATAGGCTTTTTCTAGACACTACAACAAATTTTCAGGCGGCATCCTTTAAACAAAAAAACTATGATTTTGCTGGCTAAAGAAGAAGCTAGCTGATCACATGTGCGATACGTTATGCGCATGCCCAAAATTTTTGCCTTGTAATTAATATCGATCCATTAACAGTGACTGTATAAAGACAGTGTGGTCATATGCTCTATATCCGCCATGTTTTTCCCATATTCTTCATTAAGCTGATCGGTTTAATTGAATTGGTAGATCTTGGCATTTTTCTATGGTTACAATATTATTGCCACAACTGTTTGTGACTTGATCACCTTGGATTCCAAGTGAATTTCCGCCAACCCAATTTATTTGTTTAAAATATGGCGGATATCCCACATACCAATAA